AAGAGCTGCAAAAATGGTGGAAAAGTTGATTTTCAGGTAATTGTAAACACAAAATAGTGCCGAAAAGAGGGCATTGCCAAAATCACAGCACGCTTTGTGCGTCATTTTATCCCCCCACCACCCATTTCCAAAATCGTGGATCAGCCCCTTCCAATACACTACTTTCATGCATATTGGCTTTAAGGTGAAGAACAGACAATTGTAACAAGGTCTAAAACATTAAATCAAAAAGATTACCCACCATTGTAAGAAAAGGATGTAGGAGAGAGCAATATTTATGGAAACAAGGCACACTTTAAGGCAGAGAGAGATAAAAGCCAGGTTATAATTTTACAAAAAATCTGAGACTCAAGAAACATAGTTTAAGTACCTTACCCAGTTACCCATGCATGATATAATATTGTCTAAAAATAAAAAATTATTAAAAATCATATCACATCATTGATAATGGTAGGTGGCATGCAACAGCTAGAACAAAAACTTGAGCATGAAACTGAGAACTAGGAAGGGTATGTGAAACTCATTGGAAAACAACACTTGTAAGTTCTGACTTACTGGCAGTTTCAGTTCCTTATCAGCCACAATATAGATAGACCCTTGGCCAGCTAAAGATGCAACCTGCTGTGGTGTCCACAACCAATTGCGTGGTACATTGGGAATAGTCAATGACTTGGATCCACCACCTAATCAAAAACAAGTAGCTAGATTATTTGGAGAGATAAACTTTGGTAAATCATTTCGCTCCAGTTGGTTGTATATATAATGATGATTAAAATTTGGCAAACAGGCCTCAAGTTGCCAAATTGACAAAAATATTATCACAAAACATTATCTTACAAAAAAGGTAGCATACTTGTACTTTGAAGGTAAGTAAATGGAAATTGAAGATAATTTTTATTGGTCCATCAAAGACGGATCTGACCTCCCTCCTTACATCATCCTCAGTCATTTCACAATGAAGGCTAATCTTTCGAATGAGACCCAAACTGAACAAATGATCTCGACTACTGCCTCTTGGGATTTTCATATTCTCATCACGGTAAGATGGTGGCAGACACACTATTTCCTTGTGCCATGTCTTGCCACTACCCCCCCCCCTCACGTTTCTTTATAAAACTTGACAAGCTTTGCCATTGCCTGTATTATAAACAGAACAGAAAGATTCTCACCCATAAAATAACACTAGTCAGTCAATATTTTTGTCATAATTTCTACTTGTGCATGTTCATTTTCAATGAAATGATACAATCTCCTTTGGTCCCCATGTTGTGCTAGTACAACTATGTATAGGTTATACACCAAGGTAGAGGTTCCTGTGGCATTCATTAACTAAGCGAGGTTAATAAATGCCATAAAAACTGATACCGAGGTGTATAACCTATACTTCTACCATGACATTTTAAAAACTACCAGCTGTTGTGAGCCTGATGATAATAAGACCAAGGTGGACATACATACAACATATCTAACAGGCTAGTCAGTAAAGAATCAACCCAGCTTGACAAATGGACTAATAAGACCATAAGCGTAGAGCGCCAGGTTTCTAAGTGTTCCCGAGAGGTATCTAATAGATTTAGAAACCTGGTATTTTGCATTCTGATTGGTCAGTTGCAACAAGGTATGGTGGAGATGGAGGTATCTTATTCAACCTCCCAGCAGGCCGGGAAACTTGTTGGTAGGTAAGTTATTTATGAACCTAAAATTGAGCAGTCTGATTGGTCATTTACAACTAGACATGGTATAATTACAAATACCGGTATTTTCTACAAATATCACTGACAGAACTTTGGATACAGTAAGTACACACCTATGCTGTGAATTACTGCAAAAGGTGTTTGACTCACGAAATTGTCTATATATACATATACTAGCATCTGATAGGTCGACTTATATCATATATTTAAAAAGTGACTGCAGTGCTTACCTTGTTCTCTCACTCTGACTGTTGGTACCTCTAAAGGTACTTGGACCTGGTCCAGGGGTCATAGAATCTACTGACTGCCTTCTGAATTGCAACATAGCAGCTGTAACGGCAGTAGAGACAACTCTTGCTAGCTCATCCTCCTCCATGTTATTTACATACGGTGCTGTTTCAAGTCTCACTAGTCGGCTCTATCTATGCTGTCACACAAGTCACAGTGTAGTATCTATGCAGCCAGCCTGGACTCACCACGTGTTCTGTGAGACTGCCTCGCCCAGTATGGTAGGTAGATCTATACATATATTTTTTATAAAAACTGAAATCTG